GGCTATCTGTGCTCTGCCAACCACGGGTATCGAAACCCGGTTTTTAACATTATAAGCCCGCAGGTTTATCGCTGTGGCACCAGGGGGTGTATGAAGTGGTAGCTCTCAGTGGCACAGCGGTATGTCTGCGGACTTGCAACGCTAGAATCCGGGTTTCGATACCCGTGGTTGGCAGAGCACAGATAGCCCATCGCGTAGCTTTGCGCTTAACAAGAAAACAAACAAACACACCACTTCATACATTCTCACTACTCCCTCTAGTTTCGTCTTCTTAATTTACATTAATGAACTATTTTGGACTTTATATATTTACGTCAAAGCATGAGCACGTAAAATAACAACTCAATTTCTGAATATATTCGAATGCTTCAGAATCATTACATTCAAGTCATGAAGCAAGCAGAACAGAAAAGCACCATGGTGTTAGAAGACAAGAGCAACATGTTATTTCTGCAAATCTCTCTTTTATTTGTTACATATGGAATTAAAAAGCCTCCTCACAGCATGAAAAGCAGTAGAAACATCTTAAGTATTGGTATAAAAATTGTAAATATCAGATAAGACGATTAAATTTTAAACATTTTTAAATGCAATGCTTATAAATCCCAGCCTATTCTAGAAAACACAAATGACTTCTTTAATCATAAAATATTTCAATATTTTTCGTTTGTTTGTTTGTTATTAAGAACAAAGTTACACAATAGGCGTCAGTGCTCTGCCCACCGAGGTATCGAAACCCGGATTTTAGAGGTATAAGCTGTGAGACCTACAGATGAGTCACGGGGGCTAAATACTTTTACAGAAACAAAAGGGAAATTAAATTGAAATCAGTTTTCTTAATAAAGATAGGTTATTAAAATCCTGTATAAGTAATCAAAATGAAAACAAAAAACTTACCACAATATTCTGATATACTCTTTCCTACCACGGGTTATGTAAAATAAATTCTTCAATTATATTAGTTTTAGAAACTAACATGTGATTTATTTTAAATTAATTCGAAAATCAAAAATACAGAACTCTTCACTTTAAAAGTATATAAAGAAAACTCAAGTTTTTGAGTTGTAGGTTCAACCAATAAAGTATTAATAAAGCACACTTGATCATATTTTGTTTCTAATTTTAGGAAAAGAAGCAACAGGTGATTTCTGAATGCCTCAAGACAATTCCTCCTCCCAAACCCGAAGACAACCCTAGTGCAGTAAGTTTAGCTTATCTTTATACGATTTTAGTATAAAGTGGGATAATTTCTCATATATGTTATTTATCCAACCGTTTTATCCTTATTTTACAGTTCTTAATTTCTTAACATGCTAAACTTTAAGTAAATATTTACTCCGACAACATATCAAAGCATAAACATGTTTAAGTTTAATATAAGCTAAGAGAACAATATAAGTTGAGATACCTGGTTAATTTGAGGGTCTGACACTATATACGTTGAACAGTTATTAGTTGAGATACCTGGTTAATTTGAGGGTCTGACACTATATACGTTGAACAGTTATTAGTTGAGATACCTGGTTAATTTGAGAGTCTGACACTATATACGTTGAACAGTTATTAGTTGAGATACCTGGTTAATTTGAGGGTCTGACACTATATATGTTCAACAGTTATTAGTTGAGATACCTGGTTAATTTGAGGGTCTGACACCATGAGTGTTCAACA